CATCGGACCACCACCATCACCACCGCCTTGATACATTTTCGCGATTATAGGACTACATATCCCTTCAAGTTCCTTCAACTTGTCTTCAAGTTCATCAACCTCAGCCAGTTGGTTCTTATCAAGCCACTCTATAGCCTCTTGCACACTAGTTTCAATCTTTTCTTTATCCTCAACACTCAATTTACTTGCAATTTTCTCATCTTTTATTGTATTCCTCATATTATATGCATAATTCTCAAGTCCATTTTTGGCTTCAACTTTCTTTTTCACTTCTTCATCCTCAGATTTATACCTCTCAGCATCTCTTACCATTCTATCAATCTCATCTTTACTCAATCTCCCTTTGTCATTTGTAATAGTAATCTTGTTCTTCACCCCGGCTGTCTTGTCCTCCGCGGTCACGTTTAGTATCCCATTCGCGTCTATATCAAACGTGACGTTGATTTGCGGAACCCCTCTTGGTGCTGGAGGGATACCAGAGAGTTCAAATTTCCCAAGAAGATTGTTATCTCTTGTTCTTGCTCGTTCACCTTCATAGACCTGGATTAGTACACCTGGTTGGCTATCCGAGTAGGTCGAAAAAATCTGTTCTTTCTTAGTTGGGATCGTTGTGTTTCGTGGTATTAAAGTTGTCATAACACCACCAGCAGTTTCTAGTCCAAGACTCAATGGTGTAACATCAAGTAAAAGCAAATCTTGAACTTTTTCATCACCTTCACCAGTCAATATAGCTGCTTGAACCGCGGCCCCATACGCGACTGCCTCGTCTGGATTTATACTCTTGCAAAGCTCCTTACCATTGAAAAAGTCCTGTAATAGTTGCTGGACTTTCGGTATCCTAGTCGATCCGCCAACAAGAACAACTTCATGGATTTGAGATTTATCAACTTTAGCATCCCTTAAACACTTCTCAACAGGGTCCATACACTTCATAAACATATCCATACATAATTCTTCGAATCTAGCTCGAGTAATCGTAGCATAAAAGTCAATCCCTTCAAACAACGAATCAACTTCAATAGTCGTTTGAGTCGTAGATGACAGTGCCCTTTTAGCCCTCTCACACGCGGTCCTCAATCTCCTCAACGCTCTAGCGTTCCCACTCAAATCCTTCTTATGTTTCCTTCTAAACTCCGTTACGAAATGATTAACCAACCTATTATCAAAATCCTCACCACCTAAATGTGTATCCCCTGCAGTTGCTTTAACTTCAAATATCCCTTCTTCGATAGTCAAAATCGACACATCAAACGTTCCCCCTCCCAAATCGAAAACGAGTACATTCTGTTCACCTTTTCTTGAAGCCTTTTTATCTAAACCATAAGCAATAGCAGCGGCGGTAGGTTCATTTATGATTCTTAAAACATTCATACCTGAAATAGCACCAGCATCTTTAGTTGCTTGTCTTTGTGAATCATTGAAGTAAGCTGGAACCGTTACGACCGCGTTTTTCACTTTGAATCCTAAGAAAGACTCTGCTGTTTCTCTCATTTTGACTAACACCATTGATGAAATCTCCTCAGCTGAGAATTGCTTCTTTTCACCTTTGTAAGTTACTTCAATCATAGGCTTGTCACCTGGACCTGAATATACCTGTCGATAACAATGCAATTATCATCGTTAAAGAAACAATACTACAGATGTTCTTCAGGCTTAGACGCGGATATCACGAGGTCAAATGAAATCAAAATTGCACTACACCAGAAAACTGTGAATTACTCGGAGATTTTACTGAGAATTAGTATGAAAAGACGCATGAAACTTATCATCCTGCAAATTTTCATTCTAATCCCTAAGAAAATCCCCATATAGTTCTCAATTTTCTGATAGTTTTGCGATAAAGAACTTTCACCTATACGAAAACTCTAGAAGGGACAATCAATACTCAAACAACTCTAAATTAATCGAATCCGAAATTCTTAAACAAAAATAAAAATACCCTCTTTTGTATCATCTACAAGATACATACGTGATATACCAGTGAGGTCTGATAAGAATGGATAAGAGTAATCGAGATTATAAGGTTGTTTTCTCTAGAGCCTCAAACCCAAAAAAATCATTTTTTCAAAAGTAAAAATAGAATTAAAAAGAAAAACTATAGAAATAAAAGTATCAAACAACAAAAATAATAAAAGATAACCAATGAAACTAAAGAAATAACAACATTAAAAAGATAAAACAATGCTATTATGATAGTATAAACACTACTATCTACTCTAAATAACAAAATAGCAAAATAATAGTAACATTAAAAAACAAAAATAGTGTCATTATGATATCATCAACACTACTATCTACACATTAAATAACAAAATACTAGTAAAACAATAATTTTGTATAACACAAGTTACACCAAAAGATATATAATAACCATTGCATCTTTTATCAATTTCAAGTTATAGTCACAAAGCATTTTCACGATCACTTTTTTATCATTAAATCATCAATAAAAAATAAACCGTCAATCAAAAGATTCATAAATCAATACACACATATATTTATTCAATTTTTTAAGTATAAATAAAAAATTATGAAAATACTATTAAATTCATCCAAACTCACGACAAAATATTTTCACGACCACTTTTTTTATCATTAAATCGTCAATCAAAATTAAACCGTCAATCAAAAGGTTCACAAATCAATATACACATATATTTATTTAATTTTATAAGTACAAATATAAAATTTACAAAAAAAACTGTTAAATCCATCTGAACTCACAAATCCCTCCTAGCTAGCTCCACCTCTATACGTAGACCTTACTTTTTATCTTCGAAAAACCATACAAAACAAACTTTTTTTTTTTTAAAAAAAAAAAACAAATCACTTTAACATTACTATAACTTTAACAAGCTAAATAACACACACACACAAAAAAAAGATGATAAAAACTACCTTAAAAGGCCATAACTTGATATCACTTTGAACAGATGGATCAGTATATCTTCTCCCAATTAATCTTTTAGCATCAAACACAGTATTGTGTGGATTCATAGCAACTTGATTTTTAGCTGCATCCCCAATCAAACGTTCAGTATCAGTAAAAGCAACATAAGAAGGTGTTGTTCTATTTCCTTGATCATTTGGTATTATTTCAACTCTATCATTTAACCAAACACCAACACAACTATAAGTTGTACCTAAATCTATTCCTATCCCTTTTCCCTCTTTATCACTACTAGTAGTAGACATTTTTCTTTTTTCTTTTTCTATTTTGTGTGTGTGTACTATGGTCTAGTATGTGTATATGTTGTAAAAGTTTGTATTTTGGATGTGTGTGTATATATACAAAGTTTTGAAGATGGTTCTAGTTTAACTGATTAAATGAAAAATATTGAATATTTATATAATAGATAATATAATTTATGTATATTGTTGACTAGAGAAAATGAATCAATCAATCTAAGTTATTTACGTGAAGATTTATCTTAATAATGTATATTCATTTATTGATCTAAATTTAAAAGAAGATGTTCTAGAAGAGGTTATTTTTCTTGATAAATTTTTAATTTACTTTTTTTTCACGGAATATATTTATGATAAATGACAGTGTAAAAATGATAATGTGTTTTAGATTCTTAAATTTAAAAGGTCTTATTTATAAGTTATTATTTTTTAAACAAATACTGAATACTAAAAAAGTAATTTTTTTCATAAAAAATAAAGAGATTATTAGAAGGAATTTGACATATTTAGAGTACTATATCTCATGAAAAATAATTTAAAATAAGAATAATTATATTATCAATTGAAAAAACTAGAAGAAATCAATTATATAAAAATTATTAACAATTCATGTTTAAGGCTCCGTTTGATTTCTCTTTAGACTACTAGTATATTCGAGCTGCTCCTGATCGATCGCATTTCTTATTTAACTTTATAATATAAAATTTTTGTAAGAACGACTTAAAATGAAGGAGGCAATGAATTAATTTCTAACTTTGACGATATATGTCTAGATAACTTAACTCATTTTTATTAGATAAGTTAAATATTTCAACTTACTAAATAATTATTTAGATATCTATTAAATTTATATATCACGTCAGTATTTTAAATATTTACGAGATAATATGGCGGTGGGGTAGGTGGTGATTATCCCAAAATTTTAGCAGCGGTGGACGGTGACGTATGGCGGAGCTCACGGCGGAGTGAGGTGTCAAGAAAATTGATGAGTTGTTGAATAATATGAACTTACACGTAGCTATATATATATATATATGAAGTTGTATGTATAATATTTTTTGTCTGGTTGTAAAATGGGTTATTGGGCTAATTTTTTGGGCCTAGAAATTGTCTAAAGTGGAACTTGGGTTTGATTTTACTGAGCCCAATGAGTGTTGATTGGACCTTCTGCAGCCCAACTGAGCAAGATCGAGTGAATCTATGTATTACTTTATAGAGAAGTACAAAAAATATCTTCGAGTCTGATGTAAAATTATTAGTTTTGTCTTTAAACTATTGACACTCTTAAAAACATTCTTTTATTTGATCAACTTAATTTAGATATACTCCTCATCTGCCACGTGACATAATAAGTGTCTCAAACTCTTGTAGGCGCATGAGACTCTCGATGAAAAGTCGAGAGAAGCGTTGAATACACTCCTAGTATTTCATTCATGTTGTAAATCGAGAGTATATTTAAGTTTAATTAGTCAATTTAATGAACGATTTTCGAGGCCTTCAATAATCCAAGAATGGTATTAATAATGTGTGTTGAGTTTAGAAGTGTTTTCGATACTCCTTTTCATTATAAATTTTATGTAGTTATTAAGAGGAGAGTAAGCGAAATATTATTTAATTATTTTTTTAAAATATAATAAGAGATGTTCGTCCAATTAAATAAGTTCGTGATAGTTAAGATAAAATATTTACTCAACTACAGAATTCAAAATAATTTAAATATATTTTTGACACGAAAACGAAAAATCTAAAATCATAAAACAAAGGTGTTTTAGGAGCCAAGAAGAATCATCAACCATATAAATAGAGCAAAAGAGGAAAAAAAAGAACATCTATGGATAAGATTCACTACACTCTGTGTTAGCTCCTTCTCTGTAAACACCACCCACCCCCATCGTCCATGGCGGGTCTCACCACCAGTACTTCCTTCACCTTGACACCCATTTCCTCTAAACCCATAACCAACAAACCCCTTTTCCTCCATTACCTTAATTCTTCCATTTTTGGGCTTCGATTTCATAATCCTCAGCTTCGTTCTTGCTCTTCACTTATCTACCATTCAGCCACTATCTCCGCTAGATACGGTGGCGGAGGTGGTAGAGGAGGATTCCGGCCGCCCCCACGTTCCGAGGAAGATGAAGCACTTGATATTTCATCTATCAGGTATTTATTTATATGGTCTTGTATAGTTGTTGTGAACTCAGCTTGTGTTACATTATGCTAAAAATCTTATCTTTTTTGTTTTTATTTGGTTATTGTGATGTTAAATGTGTTTGTTTGGGTTCGAATTGTATTGGGTTTTTGTTGAAGATGTTAATCCCTCACACCCATTTCCTTTAAGCCCTTAACAGCCAAACCCCTTCCCCTCTTGCCTTAATGGGATTCGATTTCACTTTCTTGAGCTCCATTCTTGCTCATCCCATATATACTATTCTGCTAATGTCTCCGCCCTATATGGAGGCAGAGGTGGTAGAGGAGGATTTGGGCCTCCCCCACGTTCTGTGGAAGATGAAACACTTGATATTTCATTAATGTGGTATTTACATGTTGGTGTGTAGTTGTTGTGGAAAAAGAATCTTGCATAGATGTAGTGTAACACTCTATACAATAGACCTGACCCTTTCTCGGTTTCAGCCCATAGCGGGAGCTTAAATGCACTAGGCTGCCCCTTTATTGTGTAACTGTTGTGCACTCAGCTTGTATAACATTATGCTAAATTCTTATCCTTTTTTTTGTTTGGTATTTGTTCTTCTTGGTTATTTTGATGTTAAATGTGGGTGTTTGGATTTAAGATGTATTGTTTTTCTTGTTAAAGATGTTAATTTTATCAGAAACAGCCTCCTTACCTCCGTACTTGTTAGTGGTAAGGTCCGAGTACCTTCCCAGGACCCATGGGATTACACTGGTTATGTTGTTGTTGTTAACTTTTTTAGCTTTCCTTGTGGTGTTTTGAAAGACGAAGCACTCACTTTCCACTATCAGGTATTAACATGTTCTTGGTAGTTGCTGTGCACTTAGCTTGTGTAACACTACGCTAAATTCATAACCTTTTTGTTTCTTTTTTGGTTTTATCTGGTTTTTGTGATGCTAAATGTGTGTGTGTTTGGTTTCAAATGTATGGTGTTTCTGCTAAAGATGTTAACTTTTTAGTGTTATTATTGTGGTGTTTTGAAATAGGTCAGACAAGGTTAGGCTCATTGATGATAAGCAGAACATGGTTAGTCTGATTTTATATTTGCTTGTTGTGTTGGTTTCAAAGTTGTTATTAATTATTGATATTTTTTTGCCTTGATTGTTTTTTGTTATGTAGTTGGGGATAGTGTCGAAAATGGAAGCCCTTCAGAGAGCTGAGGATGCAAGCCTTGACTTGGTATGTTTCTGTAAGACTGACTTTTAAAATCTTTTTTCGACTTTTGTGATTATGTGGGAATATATCCCTCAAATGTGACAATGTAGTCTTCTGCCTCATTTGTGCTAGAAATGTTGCATTGAATGGTAAATAATAACGCGGAGTCAAGAAGTTTTTTTAATTCATGAGATGGCTAAAAATATAGCTGGTATTAAGTGTTAAACTAGGCAAAGTTGACTGGAATGATCATTGATCAATCTCGAAAGGAAGAGTGTATATCGAGTACTCTGTACTGGTTCGGGGGATAGGTTGATAGCAGGAAGAATCGAATACTATTGCTTCAGGTTATTTGGTGTAGTTAGAAGGGAATATGATGCAGGGAAAAGAAACTGAAAAGATTATTATGCTTATCTAGAGGAGTAGCTTATCCAGAATCTTAATTATGATAATGTTAATATTGATTTGATTATGTTATTTTTTCATTTGGTGGATATTTGTAGGTGATTCTATCGCCAGAAGCAGACCCGCCGGTCGTCAAAATTATGGATTACAAGTAAGATATATCAATTAGAAGTGTTTTTTCTCTGAATTTCGATTATGATATGTACTTCTTGATTCCTGGAATGATCTCATCGCCTACATGGGGAATTGGAGTATTAGTTTTATGAGTGATTAAGGTCGTAATTTGCAGCTTGACACATCTAATAGAGGTAATTGTGGAACCGATATACAAATAGGAATAATTGTTGTGCTGTTTGTTCCATTTTATTAGTCCTAGTTTTACTTGAAAGTTTTACTAGTATAAGATTAAGAGTGTTAACTATTTCTTACAGTTGTATAGTGATATTTGTGTTATTGGAAATAGAATTGAAAGAGTGAAAATCATGTAATCTTTTGAGTTGTATATTTCTCCCAAAACTTTACTTTTAGGGAAGTAGAGAATATTCAAGACGGCTCAATAAGAAAAGGAAGGGAAGGGAGAGTTTCTATTGATCATCATTCTTTCATTTTCTTCTTTCATTTGTTTAGGCTTTAAATGCTTGTGCATTATTCCTGTTTGATATGATTGATCATAATGCCTTTCTAGAACCAAAGTTCCAACTAAGCTTAATAACGTTGTAGCACACTTGTCCTTGGTACAAACTGGTATATCAAACAGATAACAGAGACCAATCTATTTGAGCTTGACTTTTGATTAGTTTATTTGTTAAACTACGAATCTGTGCTTGTGTAGAACTCTGAACATCATATAAGACCAAGCAAGATTCAAAAGCATAACATTTTGCTTGAATTAGGTGGATTGAGGTTATGATCCTTGGTATGCACTGTGTCATTTTTTCTTGAAGATTACGCCACAGTGCAAGTTATTATTCTGCATACCGATTTAGATAATTATATGCTGACTAGATGCAAGGAGTATCTTGGTCATGGTTTTCTTATCATTTTGAATTGCTAAAACACTTGCACTCTGATATTTTGCTTTATTTTTTGCCAGTAAGTATAAGTATGAGCTGCAAAAGAAGAAAAAGGAGCAGCAAAAGAAAAATGCTGGTACATCTCTTGCCTTTTAGAATTTCTTTTTCTTTCTTTCGAAACAAGAGACCCCGTGTAACTTCCTTTTACCAACAATTTTTTTTTCGATGACAGCCAGCCGCATGGATTTGAAGGAGCTCAAAATGGGGTAAGGTTCCATATCATGTATGCTTAACACTGATGTTTATTGAGAAATTATTAGCTTTTTATGTTTCCGTCCCTTCATTAGATGAGTGAAAAGTTGTGATACTATGGCCATATTTTCTTCCTTCTTCTTTTTGGTGGTTCAGCATTAAAGTTGTTCTATACTTTGTATGGTATTTTTGTGCATTCTGTGAATGAGTGCCTTACATACAAATGCAAATTAATGAGACCTCTATATGTTCATCCATCAAATCCTGAGAGGTGTCTCTAATTTTGTCTTCCATTGGACTATGTTGAAATGCAGAAACGATTTGTCTCATCTACTTGCTACATTTTTGGTCAATGAAACAAAGTGCACAAAGTGTTCCCTGTGTTCATACACTTCCCTAACAGTGATAAGGGGTCTTATCTTTTCCAATGTACCAAAAAAAGAAAGAATGATACGTGGAAAAATGGTGAGAAGGAGAATTTCTAATATTGTAGTTCTCAGCATTCTAGTTAAGACTGAATTTACAAGGAAGAAAAGTCATTTCTGTTGTTAGGTTTAACACACGGTAACCATTTCAATGTTAATGTTTCTCTGAAGTAAAAGACCAATGTCCTTACTGTAATATGTTGTGGTATGGTACATTGTTTATATCCTGTTTTCCCACTTCTGTTTATTTTGTTATTCTTTCTGGTGTTTGAAGGTTTCTTTTGATATTGCAGTTATAATATTGATTCTCACGATTATTCAGTGCGTTTGAAAGCTGCTCAGAAGTTCTTGAAAGATGGTGACAAGGTAGCTCGGAATCATGTATTTTCAGCATGCAATGACTTTAGAGAATCTGGTGGTTTAATGTTTAAATGCTATTTATTGGTACTTCCTGCAGGTAAAAATCATAGTGAACTTAAAAGGCCGTGAAAATGAGTTCAGAAATAATGCTATTGAGCTACTTAGGCGTTTTCAGAATGATGTCGGTGAGGTAAGCATGATTTCCTTTTTCTCGTGCCAAAAGTAAATATTAGTCATGATGCATTCTGCCTGCAGTGCACAAAAGATGTGAATAGGTTTAAAAGCGTGCACACTAAGTTCACAGGCCGGTCCTTTAATCTAAAATCATGTAGGTCTTGCCATTTCCATTACTAAACGAAGATGGTTATGTATCTTATCTGCTAGATCATGACTACATCACTATTGATTCTTTCTTAGAGCGATCAATCATCACATCAGATGAAAATATTCGTGGAAAAGTAAACATGAACAATCAAACACTGTAAACAACATAAGTTGGGATTTGAAATCCAATATATTGACTGTTACTCAAGATCAGTAGATCAAAGAATAACTATGGTGCATACACGACTAAATGGACGATTTAAGCGTGTATGCTCAATTAGTCTTTTCCCTCTCTGGCTACTTAACGTTTATATTGTGGTGCTATTCACAGCTTGCAACTGAGGAGAACAAGAATTTCAGGGATAGGAACGTCTTCATAGTTTTGGTACCGAATAAGGCTATTGTACAGAAAGCTCCAGAGCAACCGAAGAAAAAGGAAAAACCAGCAACTGAAGTTTCAGCCAGTGTTTAAGCATCAGATGAAAGTTTATTACGAGGGGGTGTTATTAGCAGATAATTCAATGCATATAATTCTCAAGAGAAAGGTGAGAGATGCAATCTGATATCTGTCTTGTATAGAATTTAGTCACATACAAGCCTGTAATAGGATGTACACTTGTGTAGTGTCTATAACAGTAGCAAGAAACATTCAGTTTTTGTAGCAACATATAATAGGTGAAGTTGAAGTAAGTTTGAGCTTTCCTTCACTTGTTATATACTTATATTTCACATGATGTTTACGCGACGAATATGAATATTATCTAAGCATCCAGGGGTGTGATCTTAAGGTAGTATGGACTGTGGAAGAATAGGGTACAAATCCCAAATGCTAGTCATAGCGAACAATTCTACTAGTGAGAGGTAGTAGGTATTCGATCGAATTATGCACGTCGTGCTGACTTAGACACCACCTTCACCAAAAGGAAAAAAAAGTGTTTTTTTTTTTCCAATTGTTGTATTGGTAGGATTTTATAACAAAGGAGGAACTTACCTATCTAAAAGATGAACCATCAATTGTTAATTTTGTAGCTACACCTTCTATGACTTATTTTATTGGTGACTTCAAATTGAAGTATTTTGCAGCCCAAGCAACATATTTATCCTTTATTGTTGGCAATTCAAATATAACATCCATTTCAAAGTTAATTATACATGTCTTTCTCAAATAGTTGACTTAATTCATTACAATTGATTTGGTGAATGTTTAACAAAACAATCTAAACAAAAAGGAAACACTATTAACTCAACTATACCCCAGATCTCTTCATCCAAAACCACCAAACAAAAAAAAATATTTTTTTGAGTTATTTCCTTTTCCAAGTTTCCTTTTTTGCTCATGTAAAAAAAAAAAGAGTAAAGGTTCTATGCATCTATAATATTGACTTTACCCTTTTAAAAATTATTAGGAAATCAAAAATTTCTTTAAAAAAAAAAACTTATTTCAATGACAAAAGCTAAAGTATATTCCAAACAAGTTTCTCTCCATATTAGAAATCAATATGGTTCTTCCACTTGACATAAAATTGACTTCTTAAAAAAGTAAAACTTTTCCACAAATATTTTTATTAAAAAGCTCTTTTTGAGGACTAATAGAAAAGCATAGACACCAATCAACAAGTTTTTTTTTCCAATTTAGAGAATAATGTTGGAAAGCATTAGTAAAGAGCAAAACTCTTTTCATCCTAATCATGATTTGAACCATAAAAAGCATATCTTAAACCAATGATTCAAAATAGTAACTCTCAAAAGTAAAGGATCATTGACACAACATTTGAAAACATTGTGGACTAATTTGACAAAAAAATATAAAATCCCAACCAAAGTAAAAGCTTAAGCAAGAAGCTGGCAATATGGTTGTTGGTAAAAGAAAAAGAAGAGGAAGCTTAGCTTAAAGGCAATGAAGACTCTGCAACCAACACATCTTCCATAGAATGGACACATATTAGGTGCAAGAAAGATACATAAAAGAAAATGACACTAGTACTACTAATCAAACATTCTATCTTTCATTAAAAAAAATGAATCTTTAATACCATATATACCATTCTTATCACCCTCCATTTCTCACTAGAATCATCCTTAGCCATGGAAGCTAGTGCAGGTCTAGTTGCTGGTTCACATAACCGGAATGAACTTGTCGTCATTCATGGCCATGAAGAGGTAAGACATTCTCTTGGAATGTTCAAAGTTAACACACATAGTAACTCCTATGTTGCTCGGACTCTTCAAAAATACTGCTAGGATCCAACATGTAGTCGCCACATTTTTGAAGAGTCCAAGCAATATAGATAGTTAATGTCTTTGAGACATTCTCTTGGAGTGTTCAAAGTTAACAAATAACATTTGTTGCTCGGACTTGTGTCGTATCCTCAGAAAATGAACTACTTTTGGAGGATCCGACATTATGCACTCAGCACATTTTTGAAGAGTTCCAGCAATGTAGAAAATAACAGTGAGGATATAGTTATTTGTGTTTGAGAGATTTCACATCTTTTGTCCTTCAAACACAAGGGGTCTGTGCACTTTATCTCAATATGCATCTTCCTTGAAAAGAGTGAGGAAAGTAATAACAAGGAAAAAAGTGATGTTTAGAGATAAAAGTGGATATCAACAATGTTAACTTCTGTACTTGTGTCTCTATAACAGTTAATTTATGGTGTTTTGCATTTTTGTTACATCTTCATGTTCAATATGACTAACTAGAACTGACAAAAATGTGTTGCTTTCTGTTTTTTAACCTTCTTCCTTTGTCCTTAATTTGCTGCAGCATAAGCCATTGAAGGATTTGAGTGGACAAGTTTGTGACATATGTGGGGATGAAATAGGCTTAACAGTGGATGGTGATCTTTTTGTGGCCTGCAATGAGTGTGGTTTCCCTGTGTGTCGGCCTTGCTACGAGTATGAGAGAAGGGAAGGAACTCAACAGTGTCCACAGTGCAAGACCAGATACAAACGTCTTAAAGGTATATACACATCTTGATGAATAAAAACTTCACATCCATGTAAACTTGTTCTGGTTGTTCGTGTCATTTATTTTCGGTTTTTAATTGTATTTGATGGCTTGAAGGGAGTCCAAGGGTGGCGGGAGATGATGATGAGGAAGATATTGACGATATTGAACATGAATTCAAAGTTGATGATGACCAAAACAAGAATAGAAACATTGTTGAGACCATTCTCCATGGTAAGATGACATATGGAAGAGGACCAGAAGATGAAGATTCCGCTCAGTACCCTCCTGTCATTGCTGGAACCCGCTCACATCCGGTATTAATATTAAATCCATATCAAGTATTACTAAGACAAGAGAAAATTTTGAATATTTTGAGTATGAAAGCATTTTGTGGATGCAGGTTAGCGGTGAATTCCCAATATCGAACCATGGAAATGGAGAGCAGATGTTGGGATCTTCGCTTCACAAAAGGATACATCCCTATCCAGCTTCTGAATCTGGAAGTGCAAGATGGGATGATAAGAAAGAGGGAGGGTGGAAAGAAAGAATGGAAGATTGGAAATTTCAGCAAGGACACGCGGGGCAAGATTATGATGACTCTGCTGACGTTGATATGTCCATGTAAGTAGTCACAACTGATCTTTAACATGAAAATGTTATGCAAATACATATTTTGAGCCATAATACTGAGGCTTCAGAGATTGGAATAACACACGAGTAAATGCTCACATCTAGGTTGTTTCTTGGTTATTTCCTGTGCTTGGAGATACAGATACAAGCATTTCACTATTTCACATTCACATAAATGGAAGTGAAAGGAGTACTACATATGACAAGTTATGACAGTAGGAGTAAGAGATTAGTGAAAATGAGAATGCACTTGTAGATATACAGAAATGTATAGTTAGAAATTTTTTTGGGTATAGCTATTACTAATAACTATCAGATTCACTTGATTGCAGTGATTTCTTCTCAAACACATAAATTCGATGCTTAAAATAGTTAATACAAAGTGCAACATGCTCTCAGCTAATCGATGTGAGAAAATGCAGGGTGGATGAAGCAAGACAGCCTTTATCAAGAAAAGTGCCAATAGCATCAAGCAAGATCAATCCTTACCGGATGGTGATTGTAGCTAGGCTGGTGATTCTGGCCGTCTTCCTTCGTTATAGAATTCTGAATCCAGTGCATGATGCGATTGGTCTCTGGTTAACTTCTATCATCTGTGAGATCTGGTTTGCCTTCTCTTGGATCCTTGATCAGTTTCCCAAATGGTTCCCTATCGACCGTGAGACTTACCTTGATCGTCTCTCTCTCAGGTGACAATTCTTTGCAAGTCTGTGCTCCTAATACTAAAAAGAAGTTAATCCTTAAGCATGGACATAAAGCCAATAGAGTTGTCAAGTTAATTTCCAACATACACCTTGTTTTCACAAAATCTTCTGTACAAGAGCTGCAAGTCAAATCATTTTCGAGAGGCTTCTTAAAGTTCTAGCAATCTTTTCAAGATAAAACTTTACAACTAGAGAAATACATCACTGACCAAAATTTTGATGTAGGTATGAGAGGGAAGGAGAACCAAATATGCTAGCCCCGGTAGATGTCTTTGTCAGTACAGTGGATCCTATGAAGGAACCTCCTCTTGTTACAGCTAATACAATCCTCTCAATATTAGCAATGGATTACCCTGTTGACAAAATTTCATGTTACCTATCTGATGATGGAGCTTCAATGTGCACCTTTGAAGCACTATCAGAAACTGCAGAATTTGCTAGAAAATGGGTTCCCTTCTGCAAGAAGTTTGCTATAGAGCCTCGAGCTCCAGAATTTTACTTCTCCCTAAAGATTGATTATCTCAAGGACAAAATCCAGCCAACATTCGTTAAGGAGAGACGAGCAATGAAGGTAAAGCTTGAACACTTGCTTTCATCAGCTAGTGCTACATAGAACTTTCCATGTCACAAATTACAAATCTCATTGTACTTGACAGAGAGAGTACGAAGAATTCAAGGTAAGAATCAATGCACTAGTTGCCAAAGCAACTAAAATGCCTCCCGGAGGATGGATCATGCAAGATGGAACACCATGGCCAGGAAATAATACCAGGGATCATCCTGGTATGATTCAAGTCTTTTTAGGCCAAAGTGGAGGAACTGATGTGGATGGACATGAACTCCCTCGTCTTGTTTATGTTTCTCGTGAAAAAAGGCCTGGTTTCCAGCATCACAAAAAGGCTGGTGCTATGAACGCCCTGGTAAACATAGAAACTTCTGTTATCTGCTAGTTCATATTCTAGAGTTGCATGTCAAAATTTTTAAACATCTACTTCAAAACATTATATGCACACTACATCAGATATTTCGACAAGAAATTTTGCAGAATCACAAAACATTCTTCAAATGTGATCCTTGCAGGTTCGTGTTTCAGGAGTTCTTACCAATGCACCATTTATGCTTAACTTGGATTGTGATCATTACCTTAACAACAGCAAGGCTGCCAGAGAGGCCATGTGCTTCTTGATGGACACACAAATGGGCAAAAAAGTTTGCTTCGTCCAGTTTCCTCAAAGATTTGATGGAATAGACAAGCACGATAGATATGCCAACCGAAACACAGTCTTCTTTGATGTAAGATTAATCAAAATTTGGCACACAAGGATACTAAGAAAAATACTAATTCTTGGAATTTATATGAGATTAGTTTATCATGTACTTATTTCTACTACTTGAGCAGATTAACATGAAAGGTCTAGATGGACTACAAGGTCCAGTATATGTTGGCACAGGATGTGTCTTCAGAAGGCAAGCATTATATGGCTACAATCCTCCTAAACGTGCCAAGCGCCCAAGAATGGTGAGCTGCGACTGTTGTCCATGTTTTGGACGCAAAAAGAAGCTTGATAAATATAAATCTGAAGTCAATGCAGATGCAGCAAATGCTCAAGGTTTTCATATATCCACATTCCAAATATTTTCAAGTTTTAAACTTTCAAATAACAAAGGAGCCTATTAAATAAGATACTCTTTGAGATTAATTTTCCCTTTTTCTTTTCTATCTCTCCATAGGATTTGACGATGACAATGAGCTACTAATGTCCCAGATGAACTTTGAAAAGAAATTTGGTCAGTCTGCAATTTTTGTGACATCAACTTTAATGATTGAAGGTGGGGTTCCACCTTCGTCGAGCCCAGCAGCCTTGTTGAAGGAAGCTATCCATGTGATCAGCTGTGGCTATGAAGATAAAACAGAATGGGGTTTGGAGGTAATGTTCATCTTTGTTTCTGTGCTTGCAAGAAAGAACTTGGTTGACAAGGGATAAACAACAAATAAGAAAACCAGAACTTTTCTGAGAGTTTGACTATTACACCTTTCGGAAGCCCTTTTGAAAACTATTAACTCTAACACAAAACAACAGTTATAAAGAAAATATGCTAGTGCTTTTTATACAAGTATATTTCAATTTGAGAAACATGAAGGATATAAATGCTTAAAACTTCCTGTATGTGTAGTAGAATGAGATACATAACAATTATAAAATAATCACCTTTATGAATATCTTTGATTGAAGTAACTGTTTTTGAACTTGCAGCTGGGATGGATATACGGTTCTATCACAGAGGATATCTTAACAGGTTTCAAGATGCACTGCCGTGGTTGGAGGTCAGTCTATTGCATGCCTAAATTAGCTGCATTTAAGGGGTCTGCTCCAATCAATCTATCAGATCGTCTCAACCAGGTGCTTCGATGGGCTCTTGGTTCGGTTGAGATCTTTTTCAGTCATCATAGCCCAGTTTGGTATGGCTATAAGGGAGGAAATCTTAAGTGGCTTGAACGATTATCATACATTAACACAACTATTTACCCCTTCACTTCTTTACCTCTCCTTGCCTACTGCACTCTCCCTGCTGTCTGTTTGCTCACTGGAAAATTCATAATGCCAGAGGTAAGCACATGATGTTTTTACTTAAACGCCTTTGAACACATGTAGTAGCTTCATATTTCACAAGTTCACTTGCTATAGTTGGTTGACTAGAACCTGCATTTCATCGATGCAGATAAGCACGTTAGCAAGTCTGTTTTTCATTGCTCTTTTCCTCTCTATCTTTACAACGGGAATTCTTGAGCTAAGGTGGAGTGGAGTAAGCATCGAGGAATGGTGGAGAAATGAACAATTTTGGGTTATTGGAGGTGTATCTGCCCACCTTTTTGCTGTAGTACAAGGTCTTCTCAAGATTTTGGCTGGCATAGATACCAACTTTACTGTGACATCTAAGGCAACAGATGATGAGGACTTCGGAGAGTTATATGCCTTCAAGTGGACTACTCTCCTTATTCCTCCAACAACAATTCTCATAATCAACTTGGTTGGGGTTGTAGCCGGAATCTCTGACGCTATCAACAACGGATACAATTCATGGGGTCCCCTTTTCGGAAAGCTTTTCTTTGCCTTTTGGGTCATTGTTCATTTATATCCATTCCTCAAGGGTCTTATGGGCAGGCAGAACAGGACTCCAACCATTGTTGTAATATGGTCTATACTTTTAGCCTCCATCTTTTCCTTGCTCTGGGTTCGAATTGATCCATTTGTGCTCAAAACCAAAGGACCAGATGTCAAGCGATGTGGAGTGAACTGCTAGCATACTCATAGTTCCGTTTTCAACGCCATGCTATTTGGAGGGCACACAAGCATATTGATATATCAGTATCCCCTGGGTGGGCTCTGAATGCAAACAAAAGAATAAACCTAGTGTGAGAAGTTATGTTTAGTGTACAAATTGTACTCAATTTTTTTGATTGTTCAAATTGTACTCGATTTTGCATATAGCTTAATGAAGTGTTTGAAGACAATCTGCTAACTTTTTCTCACTTGATGACCAACTATGAGTTTTGACAGAACTTTCAAGTAATTAATCTTTGAACTTAACGAATAAAGATGCAATACAATATCTGAATGAAGAGTATGAGTGTGCCGCATCTCATCTAAGAATTTCCATGAAAATAACACTTGACACTTGTAGATGCATGTCTACAATTATGACAAAAGAAGATCTAAGACAAATTTATACAAACCTTTTCGCAACATATTCTATACATTCAAGCAGATAGACACCGCAGCAACTTCCCCCATATCAAATGCCTAGGACAACTTGGAACAATGAGAGAAGGACATGAAATATTATATGAGGAAAATGTATCTAAGAGCTCAACCTAGGTATACCTATTTGATCCAAAGTAACTTTCAGTTGATATTCTGCTCCTCTACACATTTGTATAGCTTATATTTAATCAATAAACTACAGAATGCTAAACAAAGGGGTGGAACAGAAAAACAAATAACAAATAACAGACTGATATTTATTGATTATATAGTGTCCAACAATAGGCCTAAAGTGCTGTCTTAATGTAAGAGTAAAATCAGCGAGATATTATGGTATTTATTGATTTTAACCGGACAACCTCACATTGTGTAAAGCACTGCACACAACCAGTTTCCCTGACCAAAAAATAGATTACACTCTTCCCTAAACTGCATAATACTAAAAACAGTATTGTACAAGCCAAAGATTCCTTTCGCTTCAGCTTTTCTTATGAGACGATTTATGTTGCCTACTTGAAATAAAAAGCAAATAATGGCATGGATAAACTTGAACCTTTGACATTGTCCATTCGTAAGTGGTTTGAGCTATCCCGCTGCCCTTGTTCCTATAAGAAGTGGATCTAAGCACAATGTAAAAACACACTGGCTCCACTGACCTCCATAATGATCCAAAAGGCTGAATAAACATCCTTTACAAGAAAAAACAATTTTACCAGTAATCCCCACAGGAACACTCTCCATCTTTGAAATGATGAAACCTGTTGGTATCTCTTACAACAACATTCCTGTCTGTAACCTTGGATACAAACTTGGTGAAATTATGGCAATCCACACAAACCCTTAGGTTCTTGATGATTCTGATTTCAGTTCTAGGTTCAGAAGTTAAAAGTCCATAAGCAATAGCTAATTTCTCACTATGAACTTTGACCATCAACTCCTTCTCCTCTTCCTCAACATCATGCAATGCTGTGCTGGTTTCCGTGTGAAATCCAGCCTCCCTCATCTTCTCCATCAGCTCCTCCAGCTTTGCGTAAATAGCTGCTGCTTGAGGATGTGACTGGTCGCTCGATGTAAAGACATGTTGGTAACCATTGACCTCAATCAAAGTGCACCCAGGGGTCTTTGCTAGATTCTTGTTCTTAAGAACTTTCCTAACTGAAGCAGCTTGAAAATAATTGCGGTCTGCTGAATAAATGTTTGAAAGTAAAACATAATATCCGACACTTCCTCTGTCCATCGCAAATAACTTATCCGAAGCCAACCGAGCCAAGTCAGTATTTTTGTGGACCATGCATGCACCAAGTAATGCACCCCACTCGGCTGGACCTGGTTCAATAGGCATCTCGTAAATAAATTCCAAAGCCTTTTCTAGTTTTCCAGCTCGGCCCAAAAGGTCCACCATGCAGGCATAATGTTCTGGTAATGGTTCAGTGTCATGATCATGAATCATAGAATGGAATATCTTCCGACCTTCTTCTACTAAACCGGCATGACTACAAGCATACAAGACACAGAGGTAAGTAACGCCAGTTGGGGAAACTCCAGAATGAAGCATTTGATCAAACAACACCAATGCCTCTTGACCACATCCATGAAGACCATAAGCCGAAATCATAGCATTCCAGGTAACCACATTTTTCTCCGTGATGCTATCAAATACTTGCCGTGCCTCCTCAATATTCCCACACTTTGCATACATGTCAACTAAAGCAGTTAACACGTAAATATTGGACTCAAATTTCTCCTTCTTTATTAAGTCATGGACCCATTTTCCCATACTTAATGTTCCAAGTTGAGCACATGCAGAAAGTATACTCGTGATAGTGATGGGATTCGGATTTATATCTAACTTCTGCATTTCCCTAAAGAGAGATATAGCCATTTCTGTTAACCCATTTTGGGCATAACCTGATATCATGGCATTCCACGAAGCTAAGCTTTTCTTTGTGGACTCGTCAAACAGCCTTCGTGCCAATTCCATTTCATTGAGTCGGCTATAAACTGTAGTCAAAGCAGTAGAAGCTGAAGGATTCAATACCATCCCAGTTTTCACACAAAAACCATGGATAGAACATGTAAGGTTCAGATGACCGAAAGGACAAGAAACAGGAATTAAACCAACAATAGTACTAGAATTAACTTTCTCCCCATGAACAAGCAATTCTCTAAATAACCTCACTGAAGATTCATTCTCATCATTGAAACAAAAACCAGCAATCATCGCATTACATGAAATCAAATCAGGCTCTTTTATCATCCCAAACAACAATTTAGCAGTTAAGACATCCCCACATTTCGAATACAACGAAATCAAACCAGTAAGAACATACTCATGAACATCATACCCCATCTTAACAGCCAAACAATGAATCAACATTCCATTCCTCAAATCCTGCAACTCAGCAACAGCAGTAAGCACCACAGCCAATGTAGTCGAATCAAACCCCGTCCCTCTCCCAACCATATCACCGAAAACCCGTAAACTCTCCTCAAAACAACAATTCCTCACCAACCCTGAAACCATTGTATTCCACAAAACACTATCCCTTTCAGGAATTCCATCAAACACCTTATACGCATGACCAATTCTTGAAAAACGCATATACATATCCACCAACGCCGACCCAACAAACACATCCGAACCAAACCCACTAACTATCACATGCCCATGAATCAAAATCCCAACTTTCTCACACCCAGATGACGAAAAACTCGAAACAACAAAAGCAAAAGTGAAATTATCAGGTTTAAGTTTATTACCTTTAAGAAGGTCAAGATAAAGGGACAACGCTTCAACCCCTAAACCATTACGCGATAACCCTCTGATTAATACATTATATAGAAAAAGATCAGGTGGGTTTGTGTTATTGAAGGTGGTGAAGAGATTTTTGGCTTTGGAAATGGATTTGAAATCGGAAAATTTGTGAGTTAGTTTAGTGATTGTGATGAGATCGTTGCTTAGGCCATTACGGATGAGATTTGCGTGGAGTTGATTGAGTTGGGAGAGAGTTGTAGCTTGGTTGATTAAGCTTATGAAGAAGTTTCTATCTCTTTGAGCTATGGATGCTATGGTTCTGTAAATCATTTGAGAATTTTTGCTTCACTCTCAGAGTAGACTGTGGAGTGGCGTTGACGACAAATATATATTTTGCTTTGGCGGGAATTGTTGTTAACATCGTTTGTAGAAAACTCGATAAGTTAAAAGCTCCCGCTATATGTAAGGTTCGAGATAAGGGGAGCATGTCGGAAAGGGGTAAGATAAATTGGTTTTTCAAAATTTAGTTCCCGCCCATATGCAAGGTTCGGGAAAGGGGGAGCCCGATGCATTGCTTTGGCGGGAATTGTTGTTAATATCGTTTGTGGAAAAGGGAGCTCGTAGTGTTAAAAGCTTCCGCTATATGCAAGGTTTGAAATAAGGGGAGCATGTCGGGAAAGGGTAAGATAAATTGTTGTTTCGAAAAAGGAGAGCCCGGTCATTTAATTCCCGCCCATATGTTAGGTTCGGAAAAGGGAAGCCCAATGCATTAAGCTTATGTCATTTGAAAGATTTAGAAATAGTGGGATCACAAGGGTCATTTATATAAGTTGTTTTCATAACTCAAGGTCACGTGATAATAATTTTACTAGTTACGTAAGATTTTCAGAACATTTTTCTCAGTAATAAGACTATGTTGAGCATATTGTTATTGTAAATATATAACAACAAGCTCAAAGATGATGTATTTGGGAAGTTTGCATCTCCTCTATAATTAATTAGTGTTGAACCTTTTTTCTCCCTTTGCATTACTTTTTTCTTGTTGATAACACAAAAAGTTACACTAGGATAAACTTTTTGCAAGATATGTAATGAAGAAAAAGAATGAAACAATTCAACTTTCTCATGATAAATTAGAATAATGAAAAAAAAAAGAATGAAAAGGAAAAACCTATTTTACTATACACACTAGCTAAGGGCCATTTGGTAAAACTAACTAATTTCCAAGTATCAGCTGCTCATCATTTCTCCAAGCTTGTTTCAACTGTATTAGATGAGACCTAATGCTATATTCTTCTACCTGCAATTATTTGTCAAGTAATCTCAATAAATAATAGGTTCTATCGAACGTGGAACTTCAAACATCAAATGTATACACACACTATTCTACCCGTTGTGTATTGTATTTGGAATAAAGACGGGGAGTATAAGTTTAGTGCAGGCTCGGAATGGAGATGAGAAACACTCCTATCATGCATGAACTATATGCAGATTAAACATAAGGTAGATATGCTGGGAAGTGTTATGATGGCTGAGAAATCTGACCCTTTGGGCCAACCATAGCCTTCGAAACTCAGGTATAATGGCTCGCCTCTACCTTCTCTTAAATATTGGACTTAGTTTGCTTGGCACAAGGCTCGAACTTGTGACCCTAAACACAAGTCCTTGAACCTTTTTTCGTTGAGCTAACACATGGGGGAAACATGTTGGGAATTTTCTTTTGAGTTTCTATGATAAAATTCAGAACATTTTTTTGGTTAATTATTAGAACAGTGGATTGTCGTTACTGGGAAAAAACTAATGCTGATCAATGCATATTCATGCTGATCTTAAATTGTCAACCTAAAATGCAAGGATTGACGAATGGACAGACCTGAACTAAAGCACAGGAAATTTGAGTCCTACTGACAGAACTAGAGGATGACTATGTCGAAAAAGAAGAACTATGACGAGCATAAGACAGGGAGGAGTGTGAAGACTAAGAAGTAGCTGAGGGTTTTCTATAACGAAGGCAATAACTTTTGGGCCCTAGAATTTTTTGTCTCACCTGCATAGCTGCTGTTGAAGCCAACAAGGCTTCACATTCATCCAGCATGGCTCGCTCTTGAGCTGCCACATCGGCAAGTTCAGAAACCAGGCAGTTCATCCCTTCCACCTGCAAAGTGCAGAGCATAAATTTCGGGTACCACAAACAGAAGTGCCAGTACAGGAAAACTTATAGACAAGATCCAGGCAAATCATGATATCAGTTTGAGCCTTAAGGTTGTTTAGCATTCAGTTCTTCTAATAAAAAAGATTGAAAGCAATAAGCTAGGTTCTATAAAGGTTTTAATATATTTCAAATATATAAGTAAATAACTCACAAAAATCGTGCTCTTGAAAGTCACATTTTTTCATGTTCCAACAACAACAAATTAATCAGATAGCCAAAGAATGTATCGTAACAACAATTATTGGCAGGCCTCATGACTTCTGTTTGTGCTCAAGTAGTATTTGGACTTTGGATATTCAGAGTTTCCACCAGTCAGTAAAGGTCAACGGCAATCCAAAAGGCCTAAGCATAACAATATCAAGCCTAATTCTTAGAGAGCACTAGCGTATTCATCGACAGTTTACTTCCCATGTGCAATATATCGTGGATAGCAAGAGTTTTTTTTTAGTAATATCAGCATGAGATTTCTTTTTCAAAATACATAACCCCTTCAAATCTATTTTTGAAAATCGACACTGCAGAAGGGGGCAAGATGAGATAATTATCCCGTCTAAATAATTTTTGAGTTGTGAAACTCTCAGTTATGTGACTAAAAGAACTATTCGGGTAAGTTACTAATTGCTCTGTTACAAAAGACTATGTGCTAATGACTTTTCTTTTCTCTATTTCTCTCTAAGATCAGCTCTCTGACTCTCTCTCATCTACATCCATCAAACAAACAATTGAGGATTGTGCAAAGCTAGACAATAAAAGACAAGGCCAATTCGGTCCGGTTCTGCAAATGCATTTTATGTTACTTAAAACTAAATTGAGAAGAAAAGTAAATTAACAGGAAGAAAGTACACATAGTAGAAAAACTAAATTAATGTAAGAACTCACCCTAGACAATATAAAACGCATGGAAGATCCCATTGCCTGCATTACATCAACAGCTGAGCAAACAGCTTCCTTAACACTTTCAATGTCACCCTATAAAAGAACCAACTAGAATAAGCCTCCCTGTCCTAGGAAACTGATCCCAAAGCACCAAGTATGAAGTTGCATACCTTAGCTTGTCCAGTTATTGGAAGACGGAGAGTGCATGCTTGTAGGTCTTGTATAGCATGGGATAATGAACTGGTATGATCCCCTTCAATTGAAGCCCACTCATCAAGGTAGGTAAGCTGAACCAGTCATTTCCATAAAAAAATCAGTTCGAACATTAAAGCAACATCTACAATAGAGATCTAAATAGAAAATGAAGGTGGGTTTTTAACGATCAGTTATGCTACTAAACCTCTCACCCCCTCACGAACCCCTCCTGGAGAAATATGATACAGTTACATACCATTCTTTTGAACAATGATTTTCAAACTATATTAAGATACAGAGAAGTCGAATCAGCATAAGGATAAAAATTACAAGAAGTCTGGAAGAGTAAAAAGTAGGGCCTGATTACAAATTGGCTCGGAAGGAAAAAATCAAGCTCAAACTTCTATGTTTAAAGCTTCCAAATATATGAAATGAAGATATCTAAACTCACACATTCATGTAAACGTCAAGTGTTTTGGGTGTTATAGGTTTCGGATAACAGGAAGATATCATACAGCACTTAAAAGTTGGTACATTCTTGTGGCTAGCAAGTGACTGCATCCTCCTCATACCTACTAGTTCAAATATGAAATAACCCATCATAGACTACATTCATATAGTGTTCAATGACATAATCTAACACGAGAAATTTTTCATGGGATTCTAAGTGGAAGTCCTGTTTTCCATCACTGCAAACATCAACCACGAGCCAATACTTGCCCATCCCTTATACAGACAAGAGAAGAGCTTGAAAAACAAATCTTCATTTTAAACTGGATGAGCCTATGATTAGGAAGTTCTAGAAAGTAGAAACCTACAATTCATAGATTTTTCTGGAAAACCCTACAAACTTAAAGACTAAAGCATCAGGGATGAAATTCGATTCATCTATTATAAAGATGCATTACCTGTTCATTTAGAACTGCAAAAAGCTTCAACCTCAGCTTAACCTGTTGTAGCGCAATTCTCTTTTTAATAACAGAAGTCCATAGGTCTGAGGTATTTCTCCATACATTGTACAATGTTTTCTGCATAGGAGGATAATTGAACTGTTAGTTAAATCAGCATAAAAGCACCAAATTGGTTATGAAAGGATAGATATCACAAATCTCTCAGAGAACATCAAGTAAAGAGATATCAGTCTCATGATACAAACCCCATAAAACATAATTAAATAATGCTTTAAGTAGAGAGTAAAAAAGCTAATATATAGCAAGAAAATGAAAGCCAGTTGTTCTACACTATTATCAAAGAAAGTTTAACTTGCTGCTTATGATCAAAAGTTCATTAATAATTTTCCCTCCTATATTTACCATTCGAAACAATGTCCATACGAGAGTCCTTAATTAGTTTTCCTATCATGCAGCAGTAGGATGAAGATTTTGTGCATATAATCAAGATAAATCAATTTAGAGAAGAAAATTCCATGAGGTACAAGGAAACTTCTTTTTATGATTTAAGTATTAAATGAAATAAGTCTAAAGGTCCATCTTTAAGCTTCACAAGGGATATAATCCAACCTCAGTTTTAGCTTTCTGCGTGTGCAATGCTGCATCTGACCTGGCATTAGCATACCGCCATTGGAGATGTCTATTATACAAAAGCCTCAGCTGATGAACATCTTCTATGTGGTTAGCTGCCTTCTTCCCCTTTTTGATATCTGCAATAAAGCTGAGGACAGAAGTAGCAGTTTTGGGTTGTTGCTTAGATGGACTAGATGGCCTTATCCGAGATGGACTTGGCCCTCTAGATGGCGTACTTGGGACCGATTTTGTTCGAGATGGACTGACCCCTCTAGATGCAGATGATGATAGAACAGATGCTTTATTTGGTGATGGAAGACGTGATCCAGGAGCTGATACAGTCTGAGATCTAGCTACTGGATTTGTCGATACTGTTCTATCCAATGAAGTCGAAGGTCTGGACTTCTGCATTGAAAGTGAATTATCATCTACTGATATTAATGACAGCAATTCACTCGCAGATTTTTGCAATGGTCTGCTGTAACCATCCAATGATAATCTCCTCAAGGTAGGCGTGACTGGACGAGTATTTGGCGCAATTTTGCTATTCTTATCACTCAGATCAATACTTCTGTTCATAATACCAGAAGGTACCTTCTTATTCGTTCTACTTGGCCATCGATGCTGATCGACTAATCGAGCATTTAAACTATCAACTGGTCTAGAATTCTCTGCTTGATCAGAAGAATTCTTTCCCTTCAATGGACTCCTCCTTCTCTCAGGCGTGGCCTTTCGAGAACCCGGAGGTGTCTCCTGTCTCTGCACTACATTTGATGATGGTCTCAAAGTACGATCACATAGAGCATGAGGAGCAGGTTTTTCTCTCTTACTAACAGGTAAGGAAAATGAATCAGACTGAAAAGAAACACTCAGACTCCTCATTGTTGAGGGCCATAAAGATTCTGCCAACCTATTGCCTGTCATCTTTCTGGACAACAATTCTTCTGCAGATGTATCCTGTACAGGTGTTGATGGTGATGGACTGGTAGGTGATAAAGGAGTCGTTGGCCGTCTCCTTTCAGCCGATATAGCTCTCTTAGGTAATGAAAGTGTTGATGCAGTAGTTCCAATTCTCGTGACATTTGGAGAAGAACAACGTCTAGGGCCAGAGGAAGCTGATGGAGTAGGTGACCTGTACCTAGAACTAACTTCTCTTGTTCTTGGCCTGCGAGTATTTCCATGGTTCTTCTCAGCCTGAATCAATGGAGCTCTTTTTGCCTCCTCTGTTGAAATCTTCTTTAATGCTATCTCTGATTCATACACATCCATCCAAACTATCCAGATTAAACCGCATTGATGATATCCACCCACTTTGTTATTTTAATAACTTCAAAGCCATTCTTGAGAACCTCTCAAGAACCCACCTTTAATCTTAATAAATTATACACCAATGTCTATAAAGTAAGATCCTTTTCTCTGCTGTAAATCTGCCATACAAAAAAAAATTGAAGCTAAAAAGTAAGATACTGAGAGAAAACTAAAATAAAAGAAGGAACAACAACAACAAACCATTTAAAAAGAAAAAGAAAACGGATGATCAAAAGAATACATCTTTACAGGCCCCCAGATCTGAAGATAAAGAATCAATAATCAGAATCCCAATCAAGAAATTGCAAATTGTTTGTTCTATAATCAGAAAGATTAACCCCCAAAAAATCAGACAGATCAGGCAAATATCCAGAAGAACTCCTTATGCTAATATAATCAAAATAGTATTTTTATCAAGAAAAGAATGTACATTGGTTGAAAAAGATTGTTTTTTTAACAATTGTATGCTTGCTAAAGAAGGGGAAAGAGGTTATTATTAACCTCTTCCCTCAAAATGGGGAAGTATAGGGGGAGATGGGGGTGTGGGTGTAGGATAAGAAATACTCATAGAACTAGAAATTATGCACAAGACAAGAAAAGCTAAAAGCTTCACCTGATTTTTTAAAATTATTTTATTTTAGTCCTACTTTTGGAAGTAAAGTTACCCACAATGTTTGATGATTTTTCTCTCTTTTTTACTTGCCATTCCTAACTTTGCCTTTTTCCTTCTTTTTGACCCTCCCCTCCCTCTTTCCTTGGCCCCAACAACCCTTTATCCCTTTCACGGGAGTGCCATGGTCTGCCAAGCTGGATATATAACACCAGATAGTCACAGCCCGTCTGTCTTGTTCCTTCTTCCCCACACCCAACTCCTTTTCATGAAAAGGAATTCAACTAAATTCATACTTACACTAAGGTAATTATACAAAGATAATTTTGCCTGCACGTTAGATATTCGTATTGAGATAAAGATTAAATGTTATTTTAAATTTTTAATTAAAGATGAAAAAATATTTATCAGTTATTGTCCAATTGTAATAGTTTCTCATCATTGTGATTTATTAGGTGCTTCATTACAAACAAACAAATAAATCAAATGAGTCTTTTATTTCATAAACAATTATTTCTCCCCTAAGATTAACTGCATTTCGGTGCATAAATAAATAATTAGTAGAATGATTTAAAATTATGAAACTTTTGTTTTTTTCCCAATGATATTATAAAGAAAAAAGAAATAATTAAGCAAGCAAATGATAGTTATAGTTAAATATTAGGGGTTATGGGGGCGGAAATGGAGGACCACGTGCAAGTAGGATCATTGTCCATCCCCATGAACTCACAGTATAATAAATACACTCAAAAAAAAATGGAGTTAAAAGTAAATAAAAATATACCTAAAACTAACATTTTCCTCCGATTTTAAAAATAAATCTAAGTTATTTAGAAATATACACTTCTAATTAAAACTTTTAAAACAACATGCCTAAGATAATAAAGGTAAAATAATAATTATCATATTTTTTAACAAGTTTCATATCATAATTATCACTCTATTTGTATATAGATACGATACGATATCTATATACACTCTTTGTTTTACACTACCAAAGCAAAAACATCGATAAAAGGAGAAATCCAAAAAATAAATATTTTTTTGTTGACTATTTTGCCTTGTTTAGTGGTTATTTTTAGGAACAAAAACCAATGAAATAATGAGAATATATTGAAATCACAAGAAGAAGAAAAAAAAATAGAATCTAATAATGTGTTATGGCAGATACTGTTCCTAATTCTGTGAACATCTTGTATTATTCATGTACAGACTTCCATAAAGAAGGTTCAGAAACTACACAAAAACAGTGAAGAAGCAAAGATAAATTTAACACAAACTCAGTAAATTTTCAAACACAATGACAAAAATAAGATATTTTTATTCATATATTATATGAAATTAATCTACATTGGATTCCAAAAAAGAAAAAACATATAAAAAATACAAGTTTTTGTACTGAAGATTTGAAGGAAAAACTTAGCACAACAGTGAAACAGAGGAATTTGAATATAGAAATAAAAAAACTCATATTTTAACAGAAATTTTCAAATTTGAATGAAAAATATAGGAAAAGAAGAATCACTAGTGAAGTATCGAAAACACATCTACATACATGAATTTGATACAGAAAAACTAAATCATCGAAAACTAAAATGTGTTTCGAAAAATAATTAATGATAATTTAAACAAAAAAAGGGATACGAAACTCACAAAATAAACGTGTTTTTTTTATGAATAAAAAAAACTAAACCAATTGATTTTTTTTTTGTGTGTTTTCGATACATAATCAAAATTCTGAAAAAAAAACTAAGCAGGGAAGGGATTTGAATCCAGTAATTGAAAAAAAAAAAGAACTTCCATGGATGAACCAAAAAATCAAATTCAATTGCTAGAAATCACACCTTATTCAATCAATCAAACCGACGCATCTGCACTGATAATCAAACTCAACCGGACGATAACCGCTATGAATTTTCCGGCGGAAACACGTTGATTAATCAACCGAACAATACAAATTACAATTTCCAGTGTGAGAAATCAATCCTTAACCATCAATTAAACAATCAATCAATCAAACAAAACTCGCCGGACAAACAACTGCTGTTAAATTTTGCGGCAATATAATCAATCGCAATACGAATTCCAAATTCAAGCGTTAGAAATCAAACCTTTTAATTAGCCGTATGAGATAACAATCAATCAATCGCAACACAGATTCCGAATCCGAGCACGCGAAAATCAAATCAAATCGAACCAAAGCTTCTGCACCGATTATCAATCTCGCCGGACGATAACCGCTTGTTAATTTCCCGGCGAAGACACGTGAATTAATGTAGTACGTAATTCAAATACGTATCACGTGAACGCAGATATATACATATATACTGTATCTATAGGTTTGAGGGGGTGGGGGGGTGGGGTAGGGGGGTGGTTGATGGGCGTTGAGAAGAGATGGAAAAGTAAAAGAAGACTAGGAAGAAGAGGTAGTTTGGTTTATTTTGGCGCCACCAAGCAAATATGGGTCGTGGCGGAGTGTAAAATACTCGTTATATTGAAAAAAGTATTTGAAAAATATTTTTAAATTTGACGTGGCTTATTAAAGCACCTTTTTAATTGATTAATTGAATTTAATCCGATCTTGTAATATGAGTGAAATATATCTTTAAATTTTCGTTTGTGGATTTTCAATTTTATTTTCGAGTTTTTATTAAGAGTCTCGTGTTTCTACAAGTGTTTGAGTCAATTTGCTATGTCATGTGGTAGATCCGGTGTGTATATAAGTTTGATTTGTCAAGTAAGACGGATTTTTTTTTTAAGTTGTCAATAGTACGAGGACGAAACTAATAATTTGCGTCAAGTATAATAGTGTTTCCAGTACTTCTATTTTTTATTTTTTAATCAAAGGTTTCTAGTTCGAATTTAAATTCCTCTTAGTATAAAGAAAAAATATATTAGAAAGTGCTTTACTTTTAATGTATTTTTTACATGAATTTAAATTTAATCAAGCTTTAATACAAATATTACACTCTCTTTTTTTTTCTTTTTTTTTGGCAAATGTTAATGTCAAAGTTTTTTATAGAATTTTAATAGTTCAGTTAAACGTTTATATTAATGGAGAATTGCAATTAGTAAAAGTTTAATTTTTTGATGATATAATCTATTCCTCAATTTTTTCTATTCTAAAAAAATAAAACTATGCGAAAAAAGTATAGTATTTGTTTTTTGCTTAAAAAAATTATTTACATCTATTCTTGTCATATATAAATTTTTGTGTTCGTCTCACAATAACAAAAAAAAAATTCAATAATAATAACATATACAGTAATGTTAAAATAAAATTATAATAGGATATATTTCGATTGATGAGTGACCGAAAAGGAATAAGGAGAGTTTGAAGAGAGTATAAGACTTTGTACATATTATTTTCATTTCGTTAAGATATATAAAATAACTTGCATTAAATGGAATTAAAAAATTTCCAAATTTAATCGAGTTGAGTTTGTCAACTAATACATAGACATATACTATTCTTTAAATTCATTTTTATGCATATTTTTATTAATAATAACTTTGTCCAAGTCTTCTCCATCCACTTTTTAATAAGAAATATTATAAGATATTACTTTAAAAATCAATAAGCTATCAATGTCAATGAGAATTACATGACTCAACAAATTAAACAATTACATACAATTTAATATACTATATATGATACACATCATTCTACATACTTACATTTATAAATAAAGTAATTAATAGATAAATATATTTTTTCAATGATACCAAATAATGATGTTCATAAAGAAGTGTATGTCAACGTAGATAATATTTTAGGTGAATTTCACATCAAAATAGAATAAAAAATGTCGTTTGAATTAAAAAAAGAAAATGTTGCTTTCTTTTGAGTCAAATATATAAAAAAACTTCATCTTGATTCAATAATATTCTTATTATATATATATATATATATATATATATATATATATTCAAATCCTCAACTATATGTCTTCATCAAAAAAAATTATATTTTTTTATTTTTTGGTTGTTGTTGATAGGGCTAAATGTCATTTTAATGAAAATAGATACCTTAACTTTTCCATGCGTGTACGAAAATAAATAAAGATTAACATATTTTAATTCTCAACTAATTAAATGTAATTTTTTTATTCTTTTTTGTAAAATATGTCATATATATATTTTTTATAAGGTCTATCGAAAACAAGCTATCTACCCTTTAAAGATATGTATAAGATTTGCATATACACACTCTCTAGACGTCACTTATGAGATCATACTGAATTTGTTATTGCTATATGTTTTTTTTAATCTTTTTTTCTTTTCTTTTTAAAAAGGGAATTAAAAAGGGGACCAATTACGTGGAAGAAAAATTATGATTAGTCATGTGTTGATGATTTAACATCATTTTTATTTAACTTAATAATAAATTAAATAAATAAATAAATAAAAGGACCACTTGCTTTTTAAGTCTATGAAAATGATATAATTGATCATGATGAGTACATATCACGGGGAGTTCAAGATTTTTATTAAAATCAAAATTGAAGTCCCAAAACACTTTTTAACTTTTGGCCAAAAGAATATTTAGGTTACTTTAATTTGCATCATAGCCATTAAAACTTAGCCATAATTTTTGGTTATATTTTATTTATATTTTTCATTATAGAATTGAAAAAAATATATGTTTATGTATAGCTATAGGTAAAAACCACCTATGGGAAAAGGAATCTCATGCATCGTCTACTTTTAATCAGATGTCACTGTTACATATTTTTTTAAAAGAATAAAGCTCAGTAAATAACGGTTGTATATGTACAACTAAGGGTGGGGGAACGCTAAGTAGTGAATTAAACAAAGATAATGATGTCTAATTGGCGGAACAATAGATCGATAAGCTATGATCAATATAGGTGTTATGAATGATATATTTTCATGCTTATTATATTTTTATCGTAGGATTTCCCCTTTATATAAATTTTATGTAATACAAACGCT